AAACAAAAAAAAAAAAAGGAAAGTAAAGCAGAGAAGCCAGCGGGAGCGCCACAAGCGGGAATGTGCGAGGCAGGCGAAGCGAGATAGAGAGATGGATAGAGAGAGATGGAGCGAGAGGAATACATCCTGTGGGGGTATATGTCTGAACCTAAAACAAAGCGAAAAAAAAAAAGGAGGGCTGTTGGGAAAAGCGCCACAGACGCCACTTAACGCGTGCTGCTGCGGGGGCGAAGATGGCGTGGCGTCTGTTTTCTTTTTCTTTTCCTCCCTTTTCTTTTGCGTTTCCCTTCGGTTTTTTTTTTTTTTTTAGTCGTCGTTGTTGTTGCTGTTTCCATTCGGTGGCGGCGCTCTCACTGCCGGAGCGTCGTGAGGCCGCACGCCATGAAAGCAAAGAAGACAAAGAAAGGTAAAAACGAAACAAACAACAACAACAACAACAACAGCAACAAAAAGGCAAAGCCTCCCCCCGCGTCTCCTTTGAAGACAGCCATTTCGCCCGTGCACCCACACACGATGAAGCTTTCTTTCGTTCTTTTTTCTNAAGCCTCCCCCCGCGTCTCCTTTGAAGACAGCCATTTCGCCCGTGCACCCACACACGATGAAGCTTTCTTTCGTTCTTTTTTCTTCGAGTGCCCGTTGCAGCGAAGGGGGGAGGGAGGGGGGAGGGAGGCGCATTGCTTCGAATTGGTGATCACCGCCATCACCACCACCACCACAACAACAACAACAACAATAATAATAAAAGCGTGTTTCCGTCCACTTCGGCTCTGTTGCCCCTCACGCCGCATCCTCAGCTTCGCTTGCGAGCTTTCGCTTCAGCTCCTCCGGCATACTGAGGATAGATGCCTCCGCCACCTGCTCGCCCAGTATATTCATCCGCAGCTCCTCGGCCATAATGCCCGATGCGTCCATGCCACTCGTGTCGCAGTCGTCGACCGCCATGATGTCCAACGCCGCAAGCGAGGTGTTTTTCGTCGCCTCCGCTGACGTGTCGATCGGCGTTGTCTGGACGGGCACACCCTCCGTCGTGCCGCGGAAAGACCGCTCCAGCATCTGCTCTGCGCAATCCGGCATCACCGTGCCCTGCAGCAGCGGCATACAGGTGGGGATTTCAAACCCAAAGCGCGCCATCAATGAGCCGTTTTCACTCGCTGCGTTGGCGACAGCAACAAAATCGGAAACTATGGTGCCAAAGAAGGCAGGGTGAAAGTAGTGCCCCATACTCTCTAGCGTGAGCAACTTAGCCTGCGGTATCATTGACGCGGTGCGGTAGCCGTGGGCCGGTGGCATCAGCACGTCCTTCACGCCATGGACCACCAGCGCTGGGCAGGACAATGAACGGAGTGCCTCGTCGCGCCCAGGGCACCTACGAATTGCCGCGGCCTGGCGAATGAGACCGGCGGAGTAGGCACTTCGTCGCAATGAAATCAAATACCGCAGCTTCAGGTACTCCTCGTCAACAGGAAGGGCACCGCTCAGGAGCCTCTTCAAGGTCTCCACGCGGAAGTCCAGCAGTTCTTCAAGAGTGCAGTTCGTGGGCGGCTTTCGCAGCAGCAATACCTTCACCCACAGCTGTGGGTCGGGGAGGTCGCGTGCGTTAGTAGTGGACATGATGCTCGTCAAACTAAGCGTGCGGTGCGGCGAAAGAAGCGCCACCGTCTGCGCAATCATGCCACCCATGCTAATGCCCATCACGTGTGCGTAGGTGATGCCTAGGGCGTCCAACAGAGCCAGGGCGTCGCGCGCCATGTCCTCAATCGTATATGGGAGACGCTCACCAAAGGCAAGCGTCTGTGGGAGAAAGAGGCGTGCAGGTATAATACTTCCACGTTGCTCAATCTTGGTCGAAAGCCCAATATCTCGATTGTCGAAACGCACCACGAAGAAGTTCTGCGCCACTAGTTCCTCGCAGAAAGCCTCATCCCAGGCATACATTTGCATGTTAAGCCCACCGATGAGAAGCACCACCGGCATTTTCTTGCACGGGTCGCCAAAGCACTGATAGCACAACTCAATGCGCATATCACTTGATGTACAATACCGCACAAATGTTAAGTGCTCCGCTGAGCGCATGGTTGATTTCATTTTCCTTTTTTTTTGTTATTATTTCGTGTTCCTGGTGATGTTGTTGTTGTTGTTGTTTCTGCCCACGCCTTTTGAAAGATGTATTGGTGGAGTTTGAGATCTATATATAAATCTGTATAAATCTGTATGGGTGGGGATGCACCGACTATAGACTGCTGTGTTGCACTATGCCTTCCTTCTCGCGTCGCGGCCGCGTATATCGCCTAGAACACACACACTGGCAGGGGGCGACAACGCAAAACAAAAAAACTCTGGAGGACACGAAAGGCACCATGCGGCGGCGGGCTGTGCATGTGGGCAAGGCACAGCCGCATCGGCAGAGATTTACTGGAGCCAGCACAGCCGTCCAAAGAAGAAAAGCACACACACACACACACACAGCAAACAAAAAAAAAAGGATCCGTCCAATCCCTTCAACAAACTGATTTGACTTGATTTTCTTTTCTCTTATTTTCCTTTTTTTCACTGACCCAGTTGCACAGATAGCTGCTGAAAGGTGTGTAGCCATGTGTGCCACGCACTCCCCCGCGGGGAGGAACACCAGTCAAGCCCCTACTGGCCGCTTCGCATGCGACGCCTTCCACACGAAAATGTGTCCGTGTTGTACCCGACAAACACGTCTTCCATGCGAAACGAAGAGGAAGCACGCTTGGGAAATTAACAAGAAGAAAAAAGAAGCACGGGAAAAATATCTCATGGCAGCACACACAGACACACACACGCACACGTCCTGTAGCGAACGAAGTGTGCGCCGCAGCACCACAACCCAAGCAAAGTGGTCAAAAAGAACCAGGTTCATATAGTTGTGCAAGTACTAATAGTGATAGCAGAAGTATTCTGCCGTTAAGCATCTGTGGTTGGTCTTTGCGCGTTCCATATAATCTCCTGCGTCATGCTGGGCATCAGCTCATCGGGTAGGGAGTGGCTCATAAGCGGATACAAAACCAGTTTTGCCGGTCTTCCAATCAAACTCGCAATCTGCACGCCGTTCTCGTACGGGATCAGTTGATCCATCATCCCGTGTATCACCAGCGTCGGTACCTTCACCGTCTTCAGTGCCTCCGCACGGCACTTTGCCCGCTGTATTGCAGCTAGTTGGCGACGCATTCCCATAGGATCTTCCGGTGCGCGTTGCAGCAGCGACCTTGCGAGGTCTTTACACTCTTTCTCCTCGAACACGTAGTTGGGGCCGCAAAGACGACGCGCAATCCGGCACTTGAACTCGACCATATCCTCCAATGACGAGCTGGCGGGCTTATCGAGGAACCACAGCCGCGCCGCCCAGCTCTCCTTCACCCGCTTTGAGGATCCCGTGTGCGAGAAGATAATGGTGAGGCTCCGCACGCGTTTCGGGTAGTGAGTAGCCATGATCTGCACAATCATGCCGCCCATGCTGCAGCCCACCACGTGCGCCTCGTTGATGCCGAGCGCGGTGAGGAGGTTCATTCCGTCCGCGGCCATGTCCTCCAATGTGTACGGCACACACTCACCGTACGCCATGGAGCGCGGCAAGGCCATGCGCAGCACATTCGGTGCGGGGAATTCCGTGAAGTGCGTTGAAAGACCAACGTCACGGTTGTCGTAGCGGATCACGTAGTACCCGGCGTCTGCGATACGCTCACAGAAGTTGTCGTGCCACAATGCGCCGGGGCCGTTCAGTCCCATCACCAGCAGCACACATGGATTCTTCGGCTCGCCAAAGGCGTTGTAGCAGATCGACACCTCAACTCCGGTGCTGGCGG